AGAAACGTATCACCTGGTGCAAAATATGTTTTTATAGCGTAACTTTGTAAAAGTAACATTTTTTATAAAACATTTAACTTTATATACTAGTAAAACGTAACAAAAGAAAAATGCCGCAACCAAATCTAAGATTATTTTCTGACTCCGAAGACCTTCCTCTCACCCCTGAACTCCAGGATCTGTTGGGTTTAGCCCCCTAAAAATCAGATGAAACCCTTCCCAATCATATAATTAGAAGTCATAATATTTTGTACAGTATCTTGATTTAGGTTTTCGCGGTTTTCCTAAATCATATTTGCCACATTATACTATGGACTCCATTTATGAGGTTGGAAATAACAAAATTGGCAAAATTATTCGGAAACACAACCTGCCACACAGGTCACTCATGCGCATACTACAACATTAAGAAATATAGCTAGGTTACTTGTATTGTAATCAGGGCAAACCACCCTGAAAAGGAGGATATAGGTCATTCACTGAATTTACACCCATATTGGATTAATAAATAAATGCACGACTGAGCCGGTCTACAGGATAATTTCGCAACAGGTAGTTGAGTAAAATAAGCATAGTCCTGCGGTGGGAAGAGGGTGAATATATTTTAATTATTAAATACTTATATAGTAGGTATGTAATTATGTTTATTAAAATTAAATTACTAAAGTAATACACGAAAAAATGAAAATATTTATAATTTTGTTTTGGACATTGTTTATGGTAATACCGTTTTCTCCGAATACAATAAACGCTTTATGGTCAGGAATTTCCGGAAGTCCCTTTCTCGGGTATAAAAATAAGTTTAAATGTTCTATTTTTGTGCTTATGTTATAGGACTAATTGCGCTAAATTATTTAGTTCAGTTTTGGATTACGAAGAGAACGTATGTCGAAACTGAAAATACCGAAGCGCGTGTTACTTGTAGACGACTTAATTAGTAATCTACATAAGTATTTTATGGCGGAACAAATAACGGAGGACCTTTAAAGCCAGTAGTGAGTGTGCATGAACGCGTCTGTACATCTCTCGGTATTAGTGATTCAAAATTAAAATATGTTTTCAAAAACGTCAAAAGCGGAAAGAGCAAAAAAAAAAGAAAAAATACACACCTCGCAAAAAACTGAAAACGTCGGATATATCTGGTGGGACAATATTGCGTATTCGTGATATGGTGTATGAAATGCGTGCGAAAAAGGAACATGTCAACTTAGACACATTGCTGGCTAACTTAAGAGAAATACAAATTGGTGAATTTGGCAGAACAAGTCTTTGGAAGTTGCTTATGGAAATAGGTTTCATATTTAAGAAAGAAGATAATAGAAAAGCTTTATGTAAAAAAAATAATGTTGATCACAAAAGAATACATTTTTTAAGAGAATACATTCGTTTAAAAGAGAATGGAGCTTCGTTTATATAAATGAATGAAACCTGGATATTTTCCAAAGGTGGGACGAAAAGAATATGGCAAGATAAAAATATAAAATCAGTAAAACATACTAATGGTGAGGGAAAGCGACACATAATCTTGTACGCAGATGGAAAGAATGGATTTGTAGATAGTGCAGGATTAAAATTTTCCTCTAAATCAAAATCAGAAGACTACCACGATAACATGAACTCGGATATGTTTATCAAATGATTAAATAAAAAACTATAACCAAATTTAAGTGAATCGTCTGTTATAGTATTAGATAATACGAGCTATCACACAGAACTTTTAAACAAACCGCCAAGACAGAATTGGACTGTAGCCAAAATACAAGAATGGCTACGTAACGAAAATGTTGCATATCCACAATACGCCCTTAAATCTGAGTTATTAACTTTAGCCAAACGGCATGAACCACCACAAATTTATATGGTAGATCAAGTCATACATAGTTATGGACATGATGTGTTACGGCTTCCACCGTACCATTGTCAGTTTAACCTTATCAAACACATTGGGGGTATATGTAAAACGTTTTATGACAAACATATTGGAATTAATGGTTAAAGCTATGAAGCAGTAAAAGAAGTATGGAAACAAGCCCTGGATATATTAACCACAGAAATTTGGCAAAAAAAGTGTTCAAAAATGTGATACATTAATTGACGACTGGTGGGCACGTGAAAACAGGATAAACGAAATTAACCCTATAATTAAATCCCTTTATAATGACAACGACGCTAGGACATAAATTCTGAGAGTAATGGTGAAGATTTATAGGTATGTCAAAAGACAATTATTTATAATAATCACTCTTTAATAGAGAATTTTAAAAGTAATGTTATTTTTAATCATCGTGCTTACTTAATCGCAGGGTAAAACTGTGTATGTAAATAAAAAATTTTGTTCTGAATAAACTATTATTAAACAACAAAATCATCTAACTATTTCTTTTAAGCTTTCTGAGGCAAAATTAAATACATAAAATTTATATTTATTTTGTTTCTATAAAAACCTTTTGCAATATACAAAATAACGCCACCCATGAGTAAATGTTTAAAATACAACTGACCAGTCAAATCTTTCATTTATTCCTTAATCCGATATGGGTGTAAATTCAGTGAATGACCTATAGCAGGATATTAGGAAAATAAAATGTTCTAGAAAATGTAAACAAAACTTATGAAAAAGTCCCTATTAAAAAAAATCTTATACAGACAAAATTTAAAATTATATTAAAAAACAATTTGACTGAATTATTTTTTTACTCTTGTTAGTGAATATGTGGAGTACTAACAGATGAAGTTTACTAACCGACTGTGACGTCTTGTTAAGTTTATATGTAAAATTTTATAATATAAAAATCTGATGTGTCCAACACATGAATTTTCTATCTAGTTATTACAGGCTTTTTCCGGTTATTTTGTACAACCTATTGTAGCACCTCTATAAATGTTTAGAGGAGGATAAACTAAATATGTACATTTTCCACATACATCTATCTCGAAACATTTTTCTATATTCATTGAAAACGAAAATACTGAAAAATTTAAATTTAGCACTTTTCCTACAATTTTTCCATTACGGTCCATTTTAGAAAAATCATGTATGAACAAAAATTATAAAGATCGATTACGCAAACAACTTTTATTTCAACAATTTTCATAAAAATCAGAATTTTGCACATTTTGTCAAATATCTCAAATACGGTCCATTTTAGAGAAATTATGTATAAAATAAAAGATATAGAGAATTATATTACAAACAACTTTTGTTTGAATAATTTTTGTCAAATTTCTCGAATACGGACCATTTTAGGAAAATTTTTTATAAAACAAAAATTATAGATAATAATATAAAAAATAACTTTTATTTGAAAAATTTTCACACACACGCACGCTCACGCACGCACGCACGCACGCAATTTTTGATATTGATAGCTGAGGCTCAAAAATTTCATCGATCGACAGGGTATTTTGGAGGGCCAACATTTTCTTTATAACAATCATCATTTAAAAACTGAAAACAAAAAGAAATTTAAATAACAAACCAATTATTTTAACACTGAATCAAAAACAAGTTTGTAAATATTACTTACCAAACAGTGATGGTGCATTTTTCTTAAGACACTATTTGGATATCCTTAATATGACGACTGCATATTTATTGTGGTATAAATTGCATCACTACCAATATCTGGGAGTGCTTTATTGTTTGTTGCTGAAATCCATCTTTCCATCGTTTGAAAACATGCTTAAAATTGGAAGGTGTTGAAAAATAAATCAAAATTCAATACACCTTCAAATACAATAACCAATAGCCATTTTAATTTTGAGTTTAAAGTTTTGACGAGCTGACAACTGACATAACATTTCGATACGAGCGCCATCCCGTTAATTGGAGTGCTACTAAATTATCAACCTCATGTTTTTCCATTTGAGTTACCAGCCCCTGCTTCTACACCTCTAAATATTTAAACAGCATAACTTTATATAGGCAACACATTTTACTTTGCGTACAAAAACGTTGCAAATTGTAAAAAAATCTTGATATACCATGAAATGACAAATCACAAATTCAAATTATTTGAATACTTATTAGTTGGTATTAAAAAAATTTTAGTTAAAAAAATTAAAAATATCTCAAAATGAGTCGCTTACACCTAATAATATTGAAGAAAAAGCATGGTATTAAAGTTTTTGCCGGAAAAACCAACAAAACTTTATATCTTTGAAAATAAATCGTTTTTGCAGTGGAGCACTGCAAAAAATACAGATTCTTTCTCCGAATCAGTGCTGTTAGTTTATTTTACAGAATTAGCAAAAATATATAAGCCATCAACACTATGGACATTTTATTATATATGTTAAGATCTACATACAATAAACTTAAACAATAATATTGATATTCAAAAATATAGTAAATTAAAAGCACTACTAAAGCGAAGTCAGAAGGTTTTCAACCAAAAAAAGAGTAGGTTTATTTTTTTTCCGGAAAATGTAAAAAATGTCTTGTAGAGGCATCCGACAATAAATATCTTGCAACAAAGGTAAAAATTCTACATATTGTTTTAATACTTATGCGATAACGAATAATTATTTTAGGTGGCATTAATAATCGGGTAATGGGCGCTTGTCGCGCAAAAGTATTATACAGTGTGCCCCAGATTCGCTTCTCTATACAGGGATCTCGGCTTCTATTATACTTACAGCAAAGGTTAAACGGGAAAAGTTTTAGAGTAAACTTAGTGCATTTGTTAACCGGATTCAGATTTACGATTTTTTAGTTGATTATAGAAATATTGGCCAAAAACCGAAAATGACAGATTTTAGCCTGTAAATACGAAACGAATAATTTGACAGTTGTCAAAATGTGACATTATTTTTTGAGACGAATACTATAGCGTGTACGACAACTCTTTGGGTTGTTCGGGTAAGGGATGTAGTATGGGTGTTACTCTACTTGATTTAGCGTTGGTGCTTGGTTTTCTTCCCCCAAGAGATCACGCCCACTGCTGTACGACATTATGTTTTGTTTTAGCGTCTGTGGCACATCACTCTTATTGTGATTTTCAGCCCTTCAGCTGCAGGAATTGAGACATATTCTGAAATAAAGGTATCTTCAGCCTTTCGGGTGTGTGGGTTGGATATTTCGATGAAAATTTAAAATTTTTTATTTTCTCCATACTTTTGAAATTTTTCATTTTCTCCCTACTTTCAGGATTATCAGTGGATTTGGCAACTTCGGTGTTTTCGTTGTCGTCTTTGTCTGTGCTGTCCAGGTATTGCTGTTCGATGCTTCTATGCTCGGCTGCGCGGTTCGATCGCCGGTCGCTGGTCTCTTTCTCCGAAGTTTCTTGCACAGAATCGGTTTTTGGGCCTTTTGGCGAGTTTCTCTTAGTTTGTGCAGTGTGGGCACTGTTTTCGCCGATCGAGCTAGTATCCGTGCTATCCACATTCATTTCGCTGACTTTTAAATCTCCACTTTTGTTATTATTGAAAGTAGGTGGAACGTGTTGTCCATACTTTCTTTTGTGGTCTGCCTGCTGTCTCTACGTGCGTTCTGCAAGGTTTCAAAAATTTTCGTTTTCAATCGATTTCTCGTCTCGAGGAGTGGTTTCCACGATGGTATAGTTTTTGGTTGTTTCGCCGGTGCCGTGTTCTCGGTCTCGTGTATTACTGATTTGCCCACCAGTTTTCTCCATACTTTTTAATTTTGAAAAATTTTGCCGTGGCTCTCCTGATGTACTGGACTTCTCACCGTGGTTAGTGGTTAGGTCCTCAGTACTCACGTTTTTAATTCTGCATGATAGAATATTCCTTTTCCTGATTCTGGATATATTAGGGTTGCGTATATAGTTCTCGCGGCTTTGTTGAACAAGCTTGTTGTAGGCTTTCACCCGACTCGAGAGTCATTGTGAGAGTTCGGTTTCTGATTCGGCAATTTTCGTGGCCGGTGTTGGTTTACCCGAAGGTATGGCTGCCCCCGAGGGCTGCCCCATGCACGGGGTAACACTTCTGAAACTTTTTTATAACTATACCTCCATAAAAAATGCGTTGTAGTTTAAAAACACAAATAAAATAGATAATAAAAGCATAAAAGTGTTTAATTAAGAATTTTTTAATTTGCCTCCATTATTCTCACAACAGTCGTACGTTTACTGTCTATTTTCTAAGTGACATTTTAATTTATTCGGTCGTTATCGTTCATTCTGAAGATTTCATTAAAAACTAATTAAAATCGCACTTTAAATCCCGAGATGCTAGCTAATGGAATTCTTATTGAGTTTTTAATCCTTTTTACTTTGTAATGACGTTAATTCGTTGAATTTAAAGCTCTACATTTTTTACGATTTCCGCAGCTTTCTATTACAAGTCTTTGTATCCAAGAAATGATTATTCAATTAATTTTAACTGGACAATAGGGAATACATTTCCATTTTTTTGAAGTACATTGTTATTTATCTGAAATGTAAGACTTTTTTTATCGAATTCTCGGTTTTTAAATCATTTATTTTCAAATAATTTTGTTCCGACATTTGTTGTTTTCAGAATTTATAACATTTTATAAAAAAATTAAGTACTTTAAAATCTAAATGAAAAGAAAGTTCAAAGCCTTAACCATACAAATTATTATGTAACAAAAGCGAATAATTTCGGTCACAATTATCACCGTCAGGTTTGTAAGATAAAAAAAATATCTGAACAAACAAGTGAAAAAATCTGATAAATTATAAACAATAAAACACATCTACTATGACAATTAGTTTATTTAGCATTAATAACTGTAATTCACATAAACCACAAAACTCAAATGTTTAACAATAAAACAAAAACAGTTATTCCGGATACCAATAATTATTTATATGTATAATAAAGTCTTGACGAGAGGATGAGAACGATCTGATTTTTTTGCAAAGATAAAATTACGCAATGTCTCTAGGGATTTATTTTTTTAGTCCCTTTTAATGTAAGTATTCGATCAAGTTGTTTTATTGTTTACATTTGTTATTTAATAACTATTTCAGAATTATTCTAAACCTAAGAAATAATTTTTTAGAGTATAGTTTTAAAGATAGTTTTAATTAAAACTAATAAATAATTAATATCCGTTCATTAGAAACTGCTAATAGTTTCTGAAAAGTCAAATACAAAATCATGTAGGTCTAATTTTTAGATATGCCTCGGTATTACCAATATTATCTAAGCCGTTTGAGAAACTACTACTAAAACGACAAAATCCAATTTTAAAAATAAATACCTTAACCTCCTACACTAATTTAGTTTCAGAAACAAATACTATTGATCAATGCCTGATAGAAATAAACAATATCCGTTAGAAATCCTACTCTCTGAGGCTAATCCAACACCATCAGATGACTACCGCCTAGTGGTGTCACGTATTTGGATAACCTCATGAACATGGCCACAAAATCACTTAAAAAGGCAAGAAGCACAAAACTCCAAAGAGAACTGGGATACTTACAAATCTCACCTTAGAGAATAGAAAAAATTCGTTAGACAAAAACTGAGAGATGCATGTAGATCCTACTGTGAACAAATAAAAGAGTTCCCGCAGGCAGCAATGCTTTATCAGGCTCTCTCAAAAGATCTACACTGCAGTATTCATGCGCTAGTTAAAGAAGATGACATGAAAACTGCAAATTTTAAAGATGTCATCAAACTTATGTTGTCAACACACTTCCCTGACTTGGTAAATACAGACGTAGCTAGCAGACCAGAAGAAAAATACAACCCGTGTGTCAAACTGCTAAACACATTGTAGACGATGACAAAATTAGATGGGTAATATCTAGCTTTTCTCTATTTAAATCTCCAGGACCTGACGGTATCGATTCAGCCCTCTTTCAGTGGGGTCTAGAAGAACTAACACCACACCTAGTAGGTATATTCAGATCCTTATTGGCTCTGAGCTATATCCTCAAAAAATGGAGAGCGACAAAAGTGGTCTTCATACCCAAACCTGGCAGGATGGATTACACTATCCAAAAAACTTAAGTAATCCACGTTTAACGTGTTTTCATAGACATAGAAGGTGTTTTTAACAAAACCTTCGAAGGTGGGGTTCCTAGAATGTAGATTCCTAGAATAGAGATTCCTGGAATAGAGATTCCTAGAATAGAGATTACTAGAATAGAGATTCCCTGAATAGAGATTCCTAGAATAGAGATTCCAAGAATAGAGACTCCAATAATAGAGATTCCCAGAATAGAGATTCCTAGAATAGAGATTCTTAGAATAGAGACTCCTAGAATAGAGACACCTAGACAATAAACAGTCCCCGTTTTCCGTGTTTTCATGGACATAGAAGGTGGTTTTGACAAAACCTTTGAAGATGGTTTTGACGAAACCACCTTCCTCAAGATACTAAACTCACTAATCAACACGAATGTTTCACACACATAACATGCTCTTAAATCAAGCAGTTCACATAAGTGTAGAAGATGTGATTATATAAGAGGCTCATTTGCGAGGGGATATCACCTCTACTGTGGAACAAGGTCCTCCACATCCTTACAGCCGCCTTAATAATAACACTCACCACACAATACCGAATGCAGATGACATGGTCATTCTGCAAATAGGGAGTTTTGAAAAACATACTCTGTGAAAGATACAAGTAGCTGTCAAAATTATAGACCAGTAATGCAAGGCCTTTAATATTTTCTATCAATGCCATGAATACAGAAATTATCCTTTCACAAGGAAAATAATTTTAATAGAATCAATACCTTCAGAGCTCCTAAACTATACAACAGAGGTAGAGATAGCAAGTTAATATGGAACTCAAATTTAGAAAATAGAGCTTAAGAACAATGCCACCAAACCATGGGTATCACCTGGGGTTTCTCCTCCAGAGTAATTACATGCACTTACGCGGCCATCATAGGATCTATGCTAATAAACGATGCAGTTGTCTGGGGATCGAAAACCCAACAATTGGCAGCTATCATCAAACTAAAATAAATTTAAAAAACATCATTCTAATCATAACCGGGACAAAGAAGAGAGAACAATACAGTAAAGAAACAAAGATACTGTGAGAAAACGTAACTATTCACAATACAGTCATCTCTGTGGTGTACTGTGACCAGAGCCATCAAAACCACACCTACAGAGCCATGAAAGTCATTCTTAGTGTCAATTGTCTTGTTATTTTAATGAAGGAGATATGACTCCGTACGATGGGAATAAAACCTGGTGTCGGATATGTTAAAACAAGACGTCGCTGTTGGCAGGAGTGGCTTAATACAATGTCACTGCTTTATTTTCGTTTTGTTTTTTATTTAAATGATCGCGATCTAGCGTTGTCAAACCGCCCTTGGTCGAGTTATTTGCCCAGTAAGTTCTGATCCAGTAAGATTTACAACCAGCCGTCCAGTTTGGCATTTTTTTTATTATTTAATAATTAAATTAGCGCGATCTAGCGTTGTCAAACCTACCTTGGTAGAGCTATTTGCGGATCTCCCTAATAAGCTCTGATCTAGGAAGCTTTACAACGGACCGTCCCGTATAGCATTCATAAATGTAGTGTGATTAGTATTATGTTATGCGAAACGCAGGCCGACGTCTTGAAATTCACTGTCCGCGGTGTATTGGTTATTTTATCAATTGATTTGTAAAAGCCATCGCCGATTGATTACCCACTGAAGCGTAGTAATTCTATTCCTCGTAAAATTTCATTTTCCATATACCCGAGCGACGTAAATATCGATATTATCCTTTTTTTAACTTCTGCATCATTCGATCGTCGTGCATTATTAATTTAATAGTCAAAAAGGTTATTTTTCTACACATAGAAAACCCCGAAATTTTCGTTTGTCATAATCATTCAACCGTTTTATTTCATTAATTTTAATTATTGGGAAATATATTTTTCAAATACAGGGAGTGCTGTAGTTTTCCGTGTTAGTTTATTTTAGTTTTTTTGTAATTCACCTGTTTTATTTAACTAAGTTTATTTAGTGAAAAATTCATTTTCTGTAGACATGGTGGATCATAATTTTTCCAATTAATTACTTTCCTGTACTATAGTCCAATTAAATAACGAAAAAAGTCCCTTCGAGCTTACATTAGTTTGTAATTGGATGAAACAAAAAGGACCTTGTGTATTTTGACGTGATCTTTCCGAAAACAAGAAAAAAAGATGTAGCAGTTTTTCAATTTTTTTTAAATTAAGAAAAACCGTGTTTTCCGGAATTTTCCATTGTAAAAATACTAATTATCTGGGCAAGTATCATTGCGATAGTGATAATAAATGCACCATTCGAAAGAGGAGGCAAAAATGGTTCGGAAATTCATTGCACAGGTAGTTTTAATGGCGAATTTCTCGCCGCCAGAAGTGCTTTTACCAAAAAGTCGTTTTTTCGTTTTTTTGATCAGAACCATGGACATGAAATTTGCGATGAATTTATGGCGAAATTATAAATGTTAGACATAT